ATGGGTAAATAAGTACAAACAAACAATTTACATGGAAATTGATAAAGTGTGGTGATTAGTATTTAAAGTTGTTTTTATTAATGATTGCCTACTTTAAGTCACACTCTTAGGGAGCCCTCAGCAACATTCGGGGGGTTGTAGCTTGTGAGAAAAAAAGTAGGTTCCCATTTTGTACTTGGAAAGGTAGAATCGTTTATTTTAACTCAGTTAAAATGACCAAAGACTACTTCATCTTGGTCTGAATCATCATATCCTAGCTCTGTAAGAAGTTATTATTCATGTAATGAAATTGGCTTAAATCTCACTGCCTGCGGCATATTAAATCATGGTTTTTATTAATGCTCCCACTCTCCTTAAGTTTGAAGGATACAGGCTTAGTGAAGCTCAGCTTTCTTAGCTGGTTATGTTACTTGATCTTTTGGGGTTTGCTTTGGGTTTTTTTTTTTAGCATCGTATTTGTTTATTGGGTTGGGATTGTGGGTTCATGCACATGCCACAGCATGCTTACGGAGGTCAAAGGGCAACTAGTCAGAAAAGGCAACGTCTCTCCACCCTGTGGATCCCAGGGATCTAGCTCAAGTGACTTTACTCACCAAACCATCTCACCTGCCTCTTGATTCTATGTGTTGGGTGGATTGGTTTTTAGACCAGTTCTCATATAGCCCAGGCTAGCCTAGAATTTACATTAACTAAGGCTACCCTTTAATTCCTGATTCTCTTGCCGCCATCTCCCAAATTCTGGGTTTGTAGATGTGTGCCGCCACATCTGTTTTTAGCTTGACGTTTTGGGGATCGATCAGCTAGTTTAACAGTTAAGAGCAAGGGCTGTGGAGTCAGCAAACATGGGTTCAACTATTGGATGCTTCAGTTGTATGGCACTGGGACTTGAAGCCAGTTGCATTCATTTAAAAGGGCAGGATTTAAGAATTAAATGAAATAATGATTATAAAGCACTTAGTACATGAAAACTCAGGAAATAGCAGTAATTATCACTAAAATATCATCGAGCCCCATCTTTATTTATTCATAGTGTGTATTCAGAAAGACTGATAATAAGTAAAAGGTTTATATATTATTTTTATGTCTACATTTTTGTTGTAGATTCCTCTACTTACAAATGAACTTCTTTCCAAAGGCTAAGAAAATTTCTCTTGAATATTAGACCTCTCTTTTGCTTTTTAACTGTCCTACCCCAGAAAGTTACCATTTCATCTCCCTCCTTCCCTTCTATGGTTCTTATATTAAAATAATGCTTATTACAAGAGTAGTTTGTTTGCATTATAGAAAATTTAAAAGACCACTTTTGAACCAGAGTCTGGCTGTCTAACCCAGGCCCACCTCAAACTTCTAAATCCTCCTGCCTCTGCCTCCCAAGTGCTTTAGCTGGAGCTGTAAGCTCAAGTGGCTACATCACAAATACTGAGCCCAGAGGTGGTTTCCACTGTGACAGTTTCTCAACAGTGTCTCTCCGTGTGTGTGTGTGTGTGTGTGTGTGTGTGTGTGTGTGTATGAGTGTGTGTGTGTGCGCATGCACACGTGCACTCGAGCTCAGATTTGTGAAAATGTCCCCATGTTCCTTGTCAGTCTAGCCTTTTCTCTGTGAACAGTGGGATCAGATTCACCCTTCTCTGAATCATGAAGTCTCTTCCTTGATGTGTCTAAGATAGTGTGTAATTCTGTTTGTGGAGGTTGGTTTAGGGGCTGCTTTCTTGCTGTATTGTTTGTTCTCTTTCTCTGTCCCCTGTGTTTATGGATGAAATGGAAGTTAGAGAAGTTTGGTGGGTTCACTTTAACACTTGAAATAGAACGTTTTAAGTAACGTATACACAATCATATCTAAACACACATGGTACGCAATTGACCCAGTGTTAATAACAGTAAGACCAACCTCTGGATTAAAGATCTCTAATTTCTTATTTACATATGGTCTCTCCATGTGTCTCTTTACTGTGCTCACAGTATTTGTGAATTATGATACTGTAAGTTCTATATCATATTGAACTAGTTTTCATTCATTCATATCTGACTTCATTGATTCAGTTCATTGTGGTCAGTGTTCTTTTTGATAGTTGGAAGTGTGTCAATTTGCCTACCTAGAACTTCAGAGTGTGTCCCTAGGCCTACCTGACACACCTGTTAATCTACTCTTACTAATTTAATGATGCCAAAATCTCTTGATTTTTAGCTACCTCAAAATAAAATATTTTTAAAGAAGTACCCAGATTTGAGTTCCTCCTATCTGGTTTCTGCCTTGACCATCAAGCCTGATTGCTCCTTTTAAATTTCCTGACTAATTTTCTACATTCACTCTAATAGGTTGTTTTTGTTTGTTTGTTTGTTTTTAAGACAGGGTCTCTTTATATAGCCCTGCCTGTCCTGGAGATCTAAGTAGACCAGGCTGGCCTTGAACTCGCAGAAATTTTCCTGTGTGAGTGCTGGGCTTAAAGGTGAACGCCACCACGCTCAGCTGTACTTTTTTCTTGAAAGCCTTAGATGTTCATGATCCATTGGTGTTCTTGTTCTCTTCTTCTCCCACAACTCCCCCTTACATAATTATAGATATTCTCCAGGTGTAGTTGGTGGCATCCTTATTTCTCCTCAGGCTTCCATGTATTCATCCTTCAACACTGTAGGCTTCACGTCTCACCGCAGCATCAGACCCACTGCTAAGACCTTTACTCAGAAAGTCCTCTTCAAACCGCCCTGTCTTACCTGAAACTTTATCAATAGTTGTTGTACATATTCAGTTTTAAACTTCTGAATCCACATCTCTAACCAAAAAGTGGTACAGCAATCAATTCTGTCTCAAATATGTTTCTTGCATGTCTCTTTTCTGTTCCTTTTAGCACTTACTCTTCCTGAATGTTGCTATAACGTCTTTGGGCTGTTCATAAGCCTACTAATTCATGACTTTCTGGTTCTTCCATGTTAATCTATAGTAAATAGTGTTGCTAGATTAATCTTTAATTTCCCTAAACTTTAAAAAAAAAGTGAAAACAAACAACATAAAAAAGCCAACACTCAAAACTACCTTGAGAGGTTCCTGCTACTTCAGTGTGTTTTTCCCTCAGTTGGCTTTCTCATCTTACCTGCTACTCTCACCTGCAGTGGGTGCCATAACCAGGCACCAATCACTGTCGGTTCCAGAGTCCTCTCATTCTTCGGGTGCGATGCAAGAGCCGTGATTCCTTTTGTCTGGCCCCCAGCCAAAACTATTGTTTCAAAGTTATAATGAAGTTATTTCTTTAAAAAATATTTACATGTCTGTCTTACTTTTGTTTTCCTCCTGCTTCAGAAAATGCTATGACTAAAGCAACTCAGAGGAGAAAGGGTTTATCTCAGTCCACAGTTGAAGTGTAGTTCATCACAGTGGGAGAACCCAGGCAACAGGAGGAGTGTACAGTAGCTGGTCACAGGGCAGCCTGAGGCCGAAGAGAGCAATGGATGAATGCTTGCTATTCCTCTCCCCTTCTTCACTTCTGTAGTCCAGGTCCTAGCCAGTAGCCAGGGAGTGAATGGTGCCATCCACAGCGGGTCGCTCTTCTAACTTCAGCTAGTGCACTCAGAATAATCTCCTGGGAATGCCCAGAGGCTCATCTCCCTGGTGGCTCTAGATTCTATAAAGGTGACAGGTAATACCAATCATCACTCACATGTGCAGGACACTCTATCCCACCAGTGCAGGGAATGCGGCCGCATCAGCAGAGGCTTAGTGGAATGAAGCTAGATCTTGACAAATGAGTGTAAGTTAAATAATATGAGAGAACCATGGCCCAGAAAAGGGAATGATGTTTTCAAACCACAGGCACATGTGATATGTAGGTTTATGTAAGTAATTTGATGTGGACAGATGTTTTATGGAGGTTAGGAAATGTTAGAGAAGAGAGCCTCCAAAGATGCTAGAGTCAGATTAGTGTAGGTTTCACCTTATGTTATAAATTTTCAAGTTTACAAAGCAATTTCCCATTGTATTGGCCTCTCTCTCTCTCTCTCTCTCTCTCTCTCTCTCTCTCTCCCACTCTCTCTCTCTGTCTCTCTCTGTGTGTGTGTGTGTGTGTGTTTACATGAACACTGAATGTATATGTCTTATATGTGCACACAGAGGCCATAGAAGGCATCAGGTATCTTATTCTATCATTCTCCACCTTAGAACCTGGACCTAGAAAGCCCCAGCAATTCTCTTGTCTCAGTGCTGGGGTTGTAGATCGTACCTCGCTTGTCACATGGGTGCTGGAATCCACTCTCAGTCCCCTAGTAGCATAGGGTTTTCTCTTAACTGCTGATCCATCTCTTGAGTCCCCGCCTGCTTACAGTTCTTAATAACCCCTTTTAAGTACTCAGCAACTGTCCTACATATTTGTTGTAAGCTTTAGTCATTTTAAATTCAAAAACTTTATTAGGCTTTATTGTTAGTTTTTTCTTATTGTGCATCTAGGAAGAGATGTAGCAAAAAAGAATTTCACATAACTATTATGTTGTTGTTGGCAGTTTTTAAGTTGGAACTGCTAACTGATCTACTGTTTTCACTCTTACTTTATGGAAAAATACCATCCCTTTATTTGATCAATATCATGTAGCTGTATTTTACAGTATCAAGGCGTCTTACAGATAGTGCTCAGTATCTTTATTAGAAAATAGCAAGTTAAATATTATTTGAAAATCACAATTAATTAAAAGTCTATTCTGATTATTGTGACTTCCTTCTCTAAGTCTGTTCTTTTATTAATAATTTCTGCCTTTTCTTTAGTAGCATGTATTGCCAAACATTCTTTAATTTAAATTTGTGATGGCCATTTTAATACAATGATTTGTAAATGTTTTAAAGAGCTGGTGCTAAGGTGTCTTTTAAAAACGGTGTGACATCCCGCTGATGCAGAGCATCCTGTTTATAATGTGGGCCAAGCACCATGCTGTAACCAGCTCCTATCACGATGATCAGATTGAAAATGAAATTGCATTTCTGTCAATTACTGAGCTGGCAACTGTTCAATATATCTTAGCAGCAAGATGAAGAGAGACGTCGGCAGCTGAGAGAGAGGGCTCGTCAGCTAATAGCAGAAGCTCGATGCGGAGTGAAGATGTCAGAACTTCCCAGCTATGGTGAAATGGCTGCAGAAAAGTTGAAAGAAAGGTCAAAGGCATCTGGAGGTGAGCTAAAGAATTTTGTAGAATATTCTGTAGAGAACCCAAAAATCTTCAGTGAACCTTTTAGCACTTCTTATTCTTACTTCAAAATGTTACATCAAAACCGTAAACTTTCTAGCCTATTGATACTTTTTTTAAGCTAAAGAAAGTACAGTAAATCAGAAGAGGACTATTAGTATTTCCAAGTCAACTTTTTGCCCTAATTTTTAATACAAGCATCATTCTTTAGCTTGGCTATGGGGACACAAGCCTGTAATCCTGGTTTCAAGCTTGAAGCAGGTCTTGACTGTATAGTAAGACCCTGCCTCAAAATTCAAAAGGAGAATGAAAAGAAAAGGGGAAGTGGGGAGGAGGAAGAGGAGATGACACTTTTTAGAAGAAACCACGTACAGAATGTGGTTTGTGATGTCCTTTGGTGTCTCACTGTTGTACAAGTAGGTGAAATGCAGGTGCGTCCTTCACGTCTAGACTATGGGACTTGCCAGGGCTGTGCTTTCCATGGGAAACTTTGCTTGAGTTATGCTGGAGATTGAACCGTGGGTCTAGTGCATGTTAAGCGTGCATTTTGCCACTAAACATCACCACCAACTCTAGGACTTTTCCCTTCGAATGAGATCTAGTGATATTTTGTGCTGGTGAGATGGCTCAGCTGGTAAAAGCACTTTCCACCATGCCTTCTGCCCTAAACTCAATCCTTGCCATGTCCGTGGCATAAGGAAAGAATCAGTCTCTATCCTTTGTCCTATGACCTCCACTTGTGGGCTCTGCTATAGTCATCCTCCTCCCTGCACACACAAAATTAAATACAAAACATTTTGACATAGTTTCAGCCAGGTGCAGTGGTATATACTTGTAATCCCAGCAGTGGAAGGAAAAGCCAAGAGCATCAGGCCTCAGCCACATGAGACTCGTATAGCCCAGTGTGTAAATTGTTGCAGTGTTCCATAGCCGTTTCCTTTAGGTCATTTCTATTGTCTTTACTCTGAGAGAAGCATCTTCAATATTTGCAGCTAAGCTTAATGTTGAGACATGGAGCATATAAGTTAAAAGAATTTTAATTTTGCCTCTCAATACTCAGTTTGGCCATCCTCTATTTGAAACTGCACGTTTGCTGGAAGTATATTCAGGAAGACTGTGAGCTTTTTATTTCAGAGTCATAACCTATTTATCGAATAGAACATATCAGGTGCTTGTCCTTAGTTCATCTTAGAATATTATTATTACCCTGAAGATTAGACAAATAAGAACTTGAATAAAACCTTAGAAAGCTGAAACAAAAGAAAGCTCCCTCCAGTTTACTGGGGAGTTTATTCTAAATAAACTAAAACTTACTGCCTTGAGTTTTAATTGATTCCTTATATTAAAAGCTTACAGGTATAAGATGGCAGTGTCAAGGAGGCTAGGGAATAAAGCTGTAGTTAGTACAGTCAATGGCATAGGGTAGATTGGCTGGCTACGCACGCGTTAGTGATACAACTCAAGTTGAGGTCTTCAGATGTAGTTCAGTGGTAGAGTATTTGCCTAGCACAGATCATTGTTCAGTCGTTGTTACTAACACACACAGGCACACACATACAGAAGAAATAATTTGTCAAAGGCTGTAGACCCTCTCCTCAGGTGAAATATTAAAGAGAAAAATACAACCCCAGTTGCAAGTGTATATCAAGGCTAGACTAGACCAAGAAACCTTTTCAGAGTTGCAGCCCATGACTGGAGCTCTTCTTACAGTGGGGGAAAGCAAAGACGTGGATTTGACATCATTTAGCAGTCAAAGTAAATAAAAGAGCAGGAGCTAAGATTGGTGCAGTTCGGTGACAGAGTGGAATTTTCCCTTACACCCAATCATCTCCTTAGCCTGTCTTCCCCTACTGGGTCCATCTTCTAGTCTCTATTCTGTATGAAAATGTCGTGGGTGAGAAATCCTGCTTGCCAGTATCCCATTTTTACTCTTGTTTTTATGACTCTCTACGTGAGCATTTACTTTAACTATTTGTGGATGGACCCCATGACTCTATAACTTGGTGGTTTGTGATTATTACTACAGAAACCATGCAAGTGCAGTTGAAAAACAAAAAGGTTGACCTAAGTAGAGGAGGCCTATTCTCTGTCCTCAGGTGAGTCTTGGTCTATATCCACAGAGGAGGTGTGAAGCTGTCTTTCCCAACCTCAGCAACGGGCATGGATCTCGTGTCTAAACTGTAGTGATCAAGGCTGTGAGCTGGAGAAAGACCTTTAGGAAAGGTAGAGTGAAGGTCTTCCTGAAATTCAAACATGCATGCATACACACACATACACACATATACACACATACACACATATACACACACATACACACATATACACACACATACACACA